TTGTTTGAGTTTTTGACCAAACTCAGTCTCATTGCTAACAAACAGAATGCAATCAAAGTGGTTCAGGGCAGGTGAGTCTGTGTTCACAAAAACAGAACTGAAGAGGATGGATTTGACATGTGATTCGGTCTTTAACACTTGTGTGTTTGTATTTATTCTCAGCATCAAGATAGAAATCCAGGCGGGTAAAGAGAGTGCGGTGGACTTCAGCACTGGTCTGGAACCCATGGTATACAAGGCCAAGAACGGACACCTTATGGTGGTGAGATGAGTGTCGTTATGATGACGAGTGTGCTTACTTGCTCTGCTCTAAAATGAATCTGTAGATAGAGAGTTACAACATGAATCAAGCTGTTTGTCACTGCAGGTTGCCACTCGGGCAAGGACACGGTAACAAGCATGGGGTTGAGAAGACACACAAGAAGCCCCTGCATATTTCATCAGGAGACCCCTGAGGGGAGATCAAAATGGCTGGAGGAGACACACCTGACCAGAAACAGCAGCACTTAGAAACCCTGGATGCGCTTGTTTTGTTGTACATGAACATTTTTCATCTACACATAATACATTAATGACTTTTACTTTTCCACCAAAAATCTCACAAGGTTAAAGTTTTAACATCATTCTGTGTTTTAGGAAGGGTTTGTCCCTGTTGTTTTGAATTACTACAGTTGAAAGTAAAGGTTTGACTGTAAATCAAACATTTAAATCTTTAATAGTATTTAATGTACAAAACACTCAACATTACTCAACCGTCTTCAAAGAATGTGTAATTCTGATTTCTGAGCAATGAAGATATGTATGTATCATCATTTTGTATGTCCACTGATAATGGTGACTATGTGATTATTAAAAACAGAAAAGAAAGTTTGTAGAAATTTATTTGTGATAAAGTATGTATAAATAGAAAACATACATATATGTTCACTTCTGTACAATAGACCTACAAGTACTGTGATTGTTAGACATATTTTAAGTCAAACCTTTTGTGTGCAAACAATACATTCTCTGATGAATGCAGCGATGAACGACAGGTCTAATTTCTCCCCCTGTTAAAAGCTTGTAGACAGGATTTCCTTCCTGCCAGGGAGATCTCTGGTTACAGTCATTCGCTTCAACCTCAGCATCCATCACTCAATCACCCCCAGTACATTTAACACCTCAGGTCACAGCTCGAGTTCCCTCCACTGAAAGTAATGATCATTTAGTGGAGTGAAGGAAAATGCATACATGTTAAAACTAAATATGGCAGAAGCACTACAGTGAAATGTTGCATCTACCTGTGATTTCGTAACTGTATCAAAAAGTTATTACATTTTTAAAAAGGTTTAATTGCTATTATCTGCAGGCTACAAAATAAATAGCCTTGGTAACATCTTCTAGGAGTAAAACAGTGCCACCATGTGGCCCCATTGTAACACCAGTTAATCCACTGGTGACCTTACAGTGGACCTGTCAGAACAATGGTAAGGAGACGCAAAAATTATGTACATTAATTTTAGCTGCTTACACAATATAATTCTTGTCCTCCTGGATGTAATGTAGTTAGGATTTCAAATAACAAGATTTATATTGACATCCCCCCCCCCATCAAACTGTGGACACCTACTGAATGCAAAGCCATGTCTATGAGCTTCAGAAAACAGTTGATAGAAGTTATCATGGCTAACAGCAAGAACAAAACACTACAACCTGGCAGATCACACAAAGACCACAACAAAGATGACAAGTGAGCACACAAAAATCACTTCAACACTACACACTGCTGTATGACACTCATCTCGTTGTAGTCTCCTGGAGAAAAAGCTGGTAAAATACCAGTAAAAGTGGAAGTGAGACAGAGAGGCGCTGGGTGATGTAAGGCACAAGCGTGGTGGCAAAGTGTCCAGGGTCAGAGACACAGGCTGACGGGTCGAGGGAGAAAGGTCACTGGTGGTGGTGTGTGCGGTCATCGGGTCGTTTGATATGAATCCTACGAACTCGCTCAATTCGTTCTCGCTCCTCGTCCTCATCCAGATGATGCGATCGTCCTGCAGCGCCCCCTGTGGCTTCCAGCAGGGCATTGTCTGGACCTCTCCCATCGTGGGACTCGTACAGGAGGATGTTGAGGGTCTCCTCATAGATTCGAGCCTCAGGGAACTCCACCTAGGAGAGAAGTAGAGCATTACACAAGAGATATTTAAACAAAATATCTCTATCTTCCAAAAGAGCAAAGAACTCTTCAGAGTGGGTATATTACAAATATTTATTTACCTTTGTTTGCTTTTTTTCTGTGGCATAAACAATGGAGGTACAGCACACTTCGGCAATCTTACGCCCCTGGCCATAAAATGACCAACAGCAGATCTCATCCCCAATCACATCTTTGATGAAGAGCACACGACCGTTGAACCGCAATGACAGCTTGTCAAACAGCTCAATATTTTTCAGCATGTTGTCATCAGAATTGCTGGGGGGAGAAAAAATAAATAAAAAGAGTTACAGGATGACCATTTATTAAGACACCTTTCATGATTTCACCACATTATGTTCCTTCTCAGTTCAAGATGACTCACCTGGTATAAGAATATTTGTTGTTGCTTCTGTTATACAGCAGTTTGACAGTAGGCTGTGAAGATAATGAAAATTGTATTTTGAAAGAAAAATCTAAATGACAAATTTTTCTTGATATTGAACTCTATTGACATAATGTGCCGAATTTCTAAACTATATACTCTACCTTATTCGAGGTTGCAATAAGCTTCTGCTCTTCCTTAGATGACGTCATCAGAGGCACTTTACAAAGTGGTTCATAACTTTCTTTGTTCTGGAGGAAAAAAGACATTTTTTTCCCCATTATAAAAGCTCTACCTGCAAAACGGTAACATACAGTATATAACAACAACAACAGGAAGAATACCACCTGGTGGAACGGAGATATTCAACCACAACTCCAAAATTAATCAAGGCATATTGTTTTGGTTACCCGTCACCAAGCAATGCTTTTTTTAAGCAGATTTTTAGGTGGAGTGGTGAAGTATTTCAGAAATTATTACAAAGAAATATGACCTAGTGATTCTGATGATAGATGAAGTATTAATACATTGCTTATTGACAACCCTGTGGTGATGGTACCTGCAAGGCAGCTGTACATTCATCAGCCAGGCCTTGGACAAGGTAATACTTGGCCTCAGCGAGCAGTTCCTCGGTTTCCCGTCTGCTGTCTGGGAGCGGCACTGCCCCGTCTCTGAGGTAGTTAAGGATTGTTCCAAAATGTTTTCCACAGCGATCAATCAAGATCCAACCTATGCACATGAAATGGTGAAACATTAGTCACTCAGTAATAGGTCACGGCCATTGCAGGGATGATAAACCCTGCATATAATTTAACCATTTTCACCAACAACTCACCTTCACTGTCCGTAAGGACCTCCATCCTGCCACTGAACATGGCTTTAAGCATCGTGTCCTGTTTGGTTAGTGTCTGCATTGTAGTGTAGTAGAGTGCCCCACCCACATTTAACTTTACATATTTAGAGCTGGGGCTGGAACCCTTGAAGGATGTAGTCCGGGTTGTAGCTGCCGGCACTGCCGAGCTCACCACACTCTCTCCTGACATCTCTTCCTGGGACAGAACATAACAAAACACAAAGTGACACCTGAATCATGGCAGTGGATTTTCTTGGTTTAGGGCACTGAGTGTAAAAAGTTAGATTATTAACACACAGGTCAATATTATGTAGATAGCTCTTAGACATAAAGCCGGTGTTATCATCTATTTTTCAATCAAATCCAACAATGCGTTAGTCTGCCTCTTAAGATTCAAACTTCCCTAACCCATTAGTTATTACTAAAGATGCAATTCTTTTAAATTCAGGGCACAGACATACAATTTCATTTTTAAAACACTGCAGTGTTTATGGCAGCAGGTCTGTATATTGTGGTGAAGGAACACATTTGCAAGGGCGTGTTATATTTGTTGACAATAAGTAAGTATAAGTATAGAATACCACCATTCAAATCCTTTAATCGGCAAAATAAAATACAAGTAGTGAGTGTTTTATTTCTGACAGTGGACTCTAGCTTTAGCAAGACTTTTCCAAATATAAGAGTGTCAATAAAGCTAAGGCAATAATGGGTTTTCTGGCTAAATGTTTACATAACTACAGGGATGTACGAAACAGCTATTATAAAACGTATGATCGTCTTCACGGACGTGTTTTCGCAATAACATTACGTCAATGGGAAACAAAAAGTATGTCTAGTAACGTTACAACGTAAAGAGAAACGTCTCCTTTCATTAGCATTTGTGTTCAGGTTGCCACGATAAAGCTTAACAGGGCAGAGACAATTCACAGACATTAAGTTAATAAAGCTGTTTGCTATGGGGCTGCTTTTCTTTTTCCAAAGCGCTAAGCGTTATTACGTTAGTACGACTGTTCTCGGCTTGTCCCTTCTCTGTATAGTACAACACTGGCCATCCAGTAGCGTTAAGTAGTCATTTCAGCCAGCACGGCTAATGAGCTAGCTAGCTAGCGTCAACTAAAGTTACCTATATCATTAAAAATCTGGCAAAAGATACACATATTATGACACTGGCTAATAAAACAACTTCCTCTATATACGGTTGGTAGCGTGTTTGTAATTTGCTTTTGATAAAACATAAGTGTATTTACCATAGAACCCGCAGCCGACTTAATTATTGTAGCTTGCTAACGTCAGTCAGCTAACACCCACTTCCTTCCGGTCCAACACTGCGCAGTTATAAAAATGACGTCAACGCTGCCGTGCTGTGTTTAAAGAGACAGTTTACATTATTTTGTTATAATGTTATAGTGTTCAAGATCGGGGTCAAACGAGACACAGCAATGCAGATAATCACTTCAGCACTTCCTTCTTTAACACCACTTTTAATTCACATATTGAAGAAACTAGCTTTAAACATATTAGCCTTTAGCTTGCACATTTCCGCTGTTGATGGGGTAACAGTGATAACAATCCCCCCCACACCGCCCACCCAACACACTGGATGAAAGCTTTATCCGCCACCAGAAATAAAGTTGCTCTTCTTACATCACGAATAAAGATAGTTAGACTTATGTCAGACCGTCTGTCGATAAATACTTACATATAACGACGTATCCATGTAGACATCCACTACCCGGAATCATTTAATGCGACACAGGGGATTAATGGCTGCAGTCAATGTACGGATCTCCTCTCATTGTTTACATTTGGAAACGGTATGTTCCCTGTGTTTTTGAGGCTGTCATTGGTACAGGATCAAACCTAACCCCACAGTGATGATACACATCGCTAAATTAACGTGAAAATATTCTTCCTGAGACAGTATCAAGTCGACAAGCGGTGAACTAGCCCTGTTTGCTAACTATCGCAGCTCCATCTTTACTGTAGCGTTATCGCCCGCTGCCCCAGAGATGGCAAGTTAGTCTCCGTCTTTCGTTTGGCTTTCCTCCTGCTTGGATCTCAAGGACAACCAAATGACTGAGGGGGTATAGCGGCCAGGTGAGCCTGAAGGCCAGACAAAATCTCCATTTGAGGAATATCGCAGGTAAGTTCAGTTTACTCAAAACAGTGTAATACTTTGCAGTTGTTAGGACGCTGTTCTCACTGTCACTATGTTCATAAAGCGCAGACATGTACTTAAAATGTAATCAGTACACGCATGCAAATTATCAGTGTACAATTTTGTAATGCAGCGGGTGAAATTCTTCTTTTCCAGGGTGCACAATGTTTAGTGTACCTCAAAGCTCCAAGTCCGAGTTCCTGGACAAAGCCAGGCAGGCCAGGGAGGAGAGGAAAGGATATAAGGAGAAGGAGAAAGCAGCAACCAACATCCAAGCCTTGGTCAGGAGATTTCTCTGCCGCTGCAGACTCCAGAAGCAAATAAGGTCTCCAATTTTATTTATTGCAGATTTAAGTAACCTGTGATTTGAAGGACCATGAACATCATCAGTAAAATAATACGTATTTAGTTGAAATAGAAGAATTTTTAATCACTGTAATCACTGGCTCAATATTGTCTTTCTGTGTCTCACCAGGAAAGAGGTTGATGATTATTTTCAAGCTTCTGAAACTGGGACATCAAAAAGAAATGCACTCTCAATTTTCAAAATTGCTCGGAAATTACTATTCATATATCGCCCAGAGGATAAGATGGTGAGTTGCCCACCTTTGTGTAGAAGTTAGTTCACTTTCATAACAATGCACACACACACACAGATGGGTGACAAATTAAAGGAAAAACTTGAATAAATTAGCGGAGAAACACAAGACATGCAGATGCTTCCACACAGATGCACTGCATGGTACAAGTAGGCAGTTAACATCCAATCATGCTCTGTGGCAGGTATAAAAATGCTGAGCAGGCCCAGTTGATTCTGGTTTTGTATCAAGATCACTCGAGCAGGATCTTCAGTCACAAAAACTGGCCAGCTGGCTTGTGTTCCAATAGGAACAGCTATGTAAGGAAAAACAGAAGAGCAACTCTTCTTCAGGTGACTGAGAATGTCAATGCGGAACATGACCAGACTGTCAGCAAGAATAGTCTGTTGACAATTAAATAAAGAGGGATATTACATTAGGGTTGTAGTGCATAAACCCTACATTACAAAAATGGACCCACATTTGAGAGTACAGCCCTGAGTTGTGGAAAAAAGCGATGCATGGTCAGATGAGTCGTCCATTATTATCGACAAGTGGGTGAGTGTATGTGAGAAAAGAACGGTACAATCCTGAATGCTTGACGCCTAAAGTGAGGGGATCTGGTAGGTCTGTTTTGCTTAGGGGGTCATTTTGCTGGCATGGTTTGGATCCACTTGATCCCTTAGAGGGAAGGGTCACTGCAAATCAATTCTGAGTGATCACCTTTATCCTATAATGAAAGATTTCTATCCTGACGGGAGTGATCTATCTATGCCATGACGAAAATGCCCTCTCCTACTGAGCATGAGAGGTCACTGGTTTGATGCGGTCACCAGATGGGAGATTTTGGACCGACATATTAGACAGTGCTCTCCACCACCATCAACAAAACACCAAACAAGGGGATATCTTTTGGAAGAATGGTGTTCATCCCTCCAGTGGAGTTGCACAGAGTTTTAGAATCAATGCAAAGGCCTGTTGAAGTTGTTCTGGGGGCACGTGGTGGCCGAACACTTTACTAAGCCGTCGTTTTGTTCTTATATAGTTTATACACTTGTCTTGGGCTGTGTAACTCAAATAACTGTAATTTTGTTCCTCACACAGAGGTTTGAGAAGCTCTGCCGTGCTATCCTTGCCAGTATGGAGGTTGAAAATGAACCTAAAGTGAGTGTGCAAATGTTTTATACCCTCCACATACCAAACATTTTTAAATATGATATTTGTCTTAGCAACTGTTCTCACTTTTGGCCCCAGGTCTGGTATGTCTCCTTGGCTCTGTCCAAAGACCTCACTATTCCCTGGCTCAAGCAGATCAAAGATGTGCTGTGGACGTGCTGTCAGCGACTGAAAACTTTAAAGGTTGGTCTTGATTTGAAGCTGGAACTTGTGTTTTAATCGGCCATTTCATGACTTCAGTTGTACATATCACTATCTGTTTTGGGATTTGCAGCCTGACATACTTCAGGACAACAAACTGGTAACGCTGTACCTCACCATGCTGGTGACCTTCACGGACACTTCAACCTGGCGGATAGTCCGAGGGAAGGGTAAGTCTCAAGTCAAGCTGAGGTTATTATTATAAACATATCTTTTGTTGTTGCAGGACACACGTTCTGCAGAGAAAAACATGATGTTTTCCCCTCATTATTTTAGGAGAAGCTCTCAGACCCGCGTTGACGAGGATTTGTGAAAATATCATGGGCCATCTCAATCAGAAGGGATTCTATTCAATGCTGCAGGTTCAGTATTACAGCTCATACTTTTTTAATTATCAAGGGATTCAATGCAGTTGTGTGACAGTGATTGTTTTTGTTGTTATTTTACTAAAAATACACATTATATGTCATCTTAAATTCTCTTGTTTAGATCTTGCTGACCAATGGCTTGGCTCGTTCTAAACCATCTCTCTCCAAAGGCACCCTCACAGCTATCTTCACTTTGTCATTAAGGTGAGCTGGGAGCTGGTAATTTGATGGTTCTAACTGCTATTTAAAAACACAAGACATAATTTTAATACATGAAGCGATGGCAACATGCTATAACCAATTTGCTCTGTGTTTTCGTGGTTTTATTTGCAGGCTGTCTTTTTAACTAAATCTAATATTTTTCAGGCCGGTCATTGCTGCTCACTTCTCCGATAACCTGCTAAGATCATTCCTCATTCACATCATGTCAGTTCCAGCCGTCGTATCCCACCTCAATGTGCTTACTCCAGAGGTAAAAGGATAGAATCACATGTTGTTGTTCCACAGTGGTACTGTATGTAATCATTTGAACTATTAGAGTATGTTTTAATATCTGCTCTGTTTTGACAGTGTATGTCGTCCATCCAGACCCACGACCTGCTGCGGAAGTTCATTCTGTTTCTCAGCCGAGAAGAACAGTGTTTGGACATCTGTGTGTGTCTCGAGGGGAGCCACACACTCTGCTTACTTGGTATAATATTTTGGATACGGGCTTGCATTTTAATCCGTGCAATCTAGTTGTGTACAGATGAGAGAGTCAGCGTGTGTCCTGTGGACTGTTCATTTTACACTTGTGACTACATCTTTCTAATAATGTGATAGGCAACCTAATTCACTTGGGCTACCTCAATGAGAAAGTCCTTGAGGAAGAGGCCAACCATTTTGTGAAGGACCTGACCGACATGCTGTCCTACTGCCAGGGATATGTATCCCAAAAGAAGTCCAACCTTACCCACTGGCACCCTGTCCTGGGCTGGTTCTCCCAAACTGTAGACTACGGGTCAGTGAAATACTTTATATTTGCTTGAATTTATTCAGCAAAGCAATTTTGACCAGAGAACTGCGTTGAAAAGGGGCACAAAATATGCAAACAGAGGAAATATTTGAGGTCCTGTAACAGCTCAAAAATCAGTTGGGCTTTAAAGTCAAGGAACACACAGAGATAGACTTCTGCTGCCTGGTCCTTCCTGAGGAAGACCTTTAGCTTGAAATGTTTTGCCTATTTAGACTGTGTATGAAGCCTTTAAAGGCATATTTTGTATGCCTTTAAAGCAAAATGATTTGTTTACTTAATGCCAGATTTGTGTACTTGACGCTGTCTCCCCTCTGTCTACTGTTCTCTGCAGTCTGAATGAGTCAATGCCGCTGGTCACTAAGCAGCTTCAGTACCTGTGGGGTGTTTCTGTTATTCGGACACTCTTCAGTGACGTCCTCTCTAAAAAGCTGGAGAGTCAGGAGCCCACTCCGCCACCCCCGCAACCTAGCACGTCACAAAACAATCTGCCAGTTAAAAGTGAGCTATAAACTCAAACCTATTCCTAAACCTAATATGTTAAAATAAGTAGTGTGTTGAGTTTTAAAAAAAGGTTTGGAGGTTCTTGAAGGTTCTCTGTATTCCTGGTGTGTTGTGTTTTGACAGACCTCTTCAAACGAGCATTTCAGAAGTCGGCTTCTGTACGAAACATCCTGAAACCGGTCGGAGGGAAGCGAGTCGACTCGGCTGAAGTTCAGAAGGTGTGCAGCATCTGCGTGCTCTATCAGACGGCTCTGTCTACACTAACGCAAATACGACTCCAGATACTCACCGGTCAGTACCAGAATCTTACATTTTTATATATTATACAAACATACAGTAACATCCTGGAGTATGTCACTGGGCATTCTGTTTTTTGCTGCAGGTCTGACACATCTTGATGAACTTTTGCCCAAACTGTGGGCTTTCATCTGTGAACTCGGCCCACAGGGAGGCCTCAAACTCTTCATGGAGTGTCTGAACAATGACACTGAAGAGTCCAAGCAGCTCCTGGCTATGCTCATGCTCTTCTGTGACTGCTCACGACACCTCATCACGTAATTCTAATAATTTTTACTGCAATGTGCATAAGGTGCACCCAGTGTGGCAGCAACATTTTACGACACGCTGTTAATTGTGTTACAGAATTCTGGATGACATAGAAGTGTATGAAGAACAAACATCTTTCAAGATAGAGGAACTCCTCACTATCTCCTCGTTTTTAAACACGTTTGTGTACAAGATGATATGGGATGGTATCTTAGGTGAGTGTGTGGCTTCACAGAATTTGGAACGTTTTGATGATGACACCGAATTGAAAAGGTATATTTTTACTGAAGCTGTTTTATATTTTGTGTTTAAAAGAAAATGCCAAGGGAGAGAAACTGGAGTTGTTCCACAGTGTTCATGGCTGGTTGATGGTGCTTTATGAACGGGACTGCAGGCGACGCTTCACCCCTGATGAACACTGGCTACGCAAGTATATACAAACACTGAATAGCTGCCGATATCCTAACACGTCCGGGTTCTGTTTCATTCGTTTGTGATTACATTTAAAAGCTCACCTTCACATCTTTGTGGCATTGCATTCAGGGATCTAAAACCCAGCCTGTTGTTCCAAGAGCTGGAGAAAGGCAAGAAAAGAGCCCAGCTTTTACTGCAGTACATCCCACATGTCATTCCACATAAAAACGTGAGTAAACAGGATCCTTTCATTTAAGACAGAGTATTGTTTTCAATTACAGCTGTATAATTACCTCCCCTCTCATTTTTAGAGGGTGCTTCTGTTCAGGAACATCGTTACAAAGGAAAAAGAAAATTTAGGATTGATAGAAACAAGCTCTGCTTCACCGCACGTCACTCATATTACCATTCGCCGCTCACGGATGTTAGAGGTATGGAGTCAACAGATCAGATAAATTTAGTAACATACTGCTCTATGTCAGTTGTTCCATAGTAACGCTTGTATTTCCCTGTCCTAAGGACGGATATGACCAGCTCCGCCGATTACCAGCGAATTCGATAAAAGGCGTCATTCGTGTGAAGTTTGTCAATGATCTGGGAGTAGATGAAGCAGGTATCGATCAGGATGGTGTGTTCAAAGAGTTTCTAGAGGAGATCATTAAGAAAGTGTTCAATCCTGCTCTCAACCTGTTCAGGGTAAGGCAAATAGAAAAGCATTTTTTAAGCTGCCACACTTCTGCTGCTGACATCGAATTGACTTGTTTGTACGATATATTTATTTTCCATAGACTACAAGTGGAAATGAAAGGCTGTATCCTTCACCTACATCATACATTCATGAGAACCATTTGCAGCTGTTTGAGTTTGTGGGGAAGATGCTGGGGAAAGCTGTCTATGAGGTACATTTGTGCTTTCAGAGGAAATGCCCCCACTCACTCACTCTGAACACAGTGTTTTCTAGTAAATCTTCAGTCATTGTATAACTGTAACTTCTTTATATTGACTGTAACTTCTGTATACTCAGGGCATCGTTGTGGACGTCCCTTTTGCCTCCTTCTTCCTCAGTCAAGTCTTGGGTCACCACCACAGCACTTTCTACAGCTCCATCGACGAGCTGCCCTCACTGGACTCTGAGTTTTACAAGAACCTCACTTCCATCAAGGTCAGCTAGAATTACACTCGGACAATTCGTTTTTTGTTTTTAACCTATTTGTCATATTTTCAACTCTATCACACATCTTTCATTTGTGTTTTTCAGCGCTATGATGGAGACGTAGGGGATCTAGGACTGACGTTGTCCTATGATGAGGATGTTATGGGGCAGGTAAGAATGGAACGTGTGGAGGATATCATACAGTTTAGTTAAACACATGAAATTCACAAGTCAAAAGCTGCTTTTTATCTTCCCCTACAGCTTGTCTGTCATGAGTTGATACCTGGGGGGAAAACCATGCCCGTCACCAACGAAAACAAGTATGTAAAAAAAATAATAGGGGTACTGTCCCATTTTAAGTTTGAAATGTTCTCCTTATGCTGGCTGTTGTACTCAATAGAATTTACTGTCTAACTCTACCACTTCTTGCAGGATCAGCTACATCCACCTCATGGCTCACTTCCGGATGCACACGCAGATTAAGGAGCAAACGGCAGCTTTCATTCGGGGCTTCCGCAGTATCATTAACCCGGAGTGGCTGCACATGTTTTCCACGCCTGAAGTTCAGCGTCTTGTCTCGGGAGACAATGCTGAGATTGATCTGGATGACCTGAAGTATGTGACATTTCAGACACCTTTAATGAGCAGAAGGACTAAAATCTTCTTTACTCGCTTTGCCACTACAGCAGTTATACTCCCAAATACAATGACAGACATTTTCCTTCATCTACATTCTTGTGTACAGAGATGCTCATCCTAGTTGTCTTCCTCTCTCTTTCTCAGGAAACACACGGTCTACTATGGAGGTTTTCACAGCAGCCATCGAGTCATCATCTGGCTGTGGGACATCCTGTCTAGTGACTTCAATGCTGAAGAGAGGGCTATGTTCCTTAAAGTAAATCGTCACAGCCGAAAGCTTTTAATTTCTGCCTCAAGGTGGTTTACCATTGTCTCATTTATTGTATTGTAATGTATGTTCACAGTTTGTCACCAGCTGCTCGAGGCCGCCTCTTCTAGGTTTTGCCTACCTCAAACCACCTTTCTCCATCCGTTGTGTGGAAGTTTCAGATGATCAGGTAAGAATTTTAAATAAAAGGAGGAAATTGATGCTGCACATTTGTGTTGTAGCTTGCATCCATGTGCTAAGTTTGTACTAACAGAGTATTTCCTGTGTCCAGGACACTGGAGACACCCTTGGCAGTGTTCTTAGGGGCTTTTTCACTATCCGCAAGAAGGAGCCTGGTGGGCGGCTTCCCACTTCATCAACATGCTTCAACCTGCTCAAGTTGCCCAACTACAGCAAGAAGAGCATCCTGCGCGATAAGCTGCGCTACGCTATCAGCATGAACACAGGCTTTGAGCTCTCCTAACTCCATCGCATCAGGACAATCTGAACTAAGCAAGATGCTCAGCTTACCTGGATTGGAGCCTGTCACGTCAAGGGGGCATCACGGGAACAAAAGGGGAATCATGAAGAAACCACAAACTCTCCTTTTGTTTTTTGTTTTAGAACTGGATGAGCTCTGCTCTATTTCAGCCCACTCCCTTACATCAAAGGGGATGCTGTCTCTGCAGCACAATCCAATTTTTAGCATCTCCCTTTGCCACTTTCGAAATCCAATATGTTGTGTGTTTAACTTGATGAAATACAGATGTTTAGTGGCTAGATCTCTGTTTCTCAGGCTTAACAGAATCATTCTCGGATCTAACACTCCCATTTTAAGCGAACTGGAAAGCAATACAGATGCAATGCAAGCCATTAGACACGGGGTCGACTCACTCGAGCGAAACCAAGCGGGGCATTGTTAATATACTTATAAGCTTGGACTCCATTATCCAAGCAACTTTTAGCTGATATTGGATGAGTCTTAAAATGTTTTGCTGAACATAATGCATCTTTTATAAATGAAAGACAAATCTATGTCTTGTGTTCAACCTCCACGAAGGAGGAGTGGCTCACAACAGTGATCCTGTGTTTATTACATTATGTCCCATTTTTTGAGGAAAGTAATTTTGACCTCACTCCATTTCTCTCCACCAACAGACACTTTAGCTACCTGAGAGACATTTGCTCTCTGCTTTTTATGTTCTCAATACATTTGGAAATCTAAAGTGGCAGAATTTCATAACGTGAAAAAAACCCCGATCTGATCCAGTTGTTTGAGTACCAAAAGATGTCCTTGCTGTAGCAATTTTACTTTTGAGTAAAAAACAAAACAAAACTTGTAATGTTTTGTTACTATTTGTATCTGCCCAGTAAAGCAGACGCAGCTGTTCATTGTCACACATCAGTGCTCGACACCCACTCCAGAAAAATGAAGTAATGAAGGAAAGTTAATCGATGATGTTAGTCTTTGTACTTAATACTAGTAAAACTGAAGATTTCTCACTACACCTTTGAAGAACGCTGAGTGCCTCATATATAATACCATCCCCCATCCGCTCTCACATCTCTGACTGTATTTCAGCTGTATCCAACAACCACGTATACGGAAACAAGCCATAGAAACGGGGGCTATATACCTGGACTCTCTGCTCCTACTAACAAAACAGTGCAGAAACTCAACCACTGTTGAGTTGTTGTACTACCACTACAACAACAGCAACAACCGAGGAGGGTTTTACTACGATGCTCTCTGATCTGTGGACTTTTTAAGCCATGCGGAAAATAATTTGAGGTTTAAAAATCTCTCCATATGATGTCATGGACTGGTTTCTCAACCAAATGCGAGTGCTTGATTTGATGTTCCCTTGGATGGAAATGTTGCACACCTCTCTGCTGTTTGTGGCTGTTGGGAAAAGGGACATGAGGGGGAATGTTACCTTATAAGCCTAAATATTACTTTATACAGGGTTCAATTGCATCATAACATTTATGAATAGACTTTACCAGAAAGACTACAACTCTCAAAGAAAGAGTTGAAAGAAAACATCAAATCTTTACCAAGTTCTTTATTATGCAAAAAAATATGTCCTGTTATGAATGAATATGGATACTTTTGTTAACGAGTTACACAAGCTATAGAACATACTGATAATTGCCATGTTTCTAACTAGTAATATCATGGCCACTAACTGGTGTGAAAACAACAAAACAAGTGATTATAATTAAAATTCAACCATTCTCTCTCTATACATACACACACACACATATAACAATGGTTGTATTGAATTTACTTGCAGTCTACTAATGAGATTAAGCTATATTCAAATCTGACAAATCAGTCTGGAGGCTTCAGCTCTCCTTTTAATCTCTTCAAGCAAGAAGCAGAAACACAGCGAGTGGATTCACACGACACACAACGCGTGTTGTGCAAGAGGGATGAACGATACCTCACAAGCTTGTCTGTCTGGTCTGATGAGGTCACTCATCTGTTTTAAATGATGTCAAGAGTAGGCTAGGCTTTAAATGTACCAGTGGAGTCCTGATGCTGACTTTGAATATCCACTCTTTTAGTACAAACAATAATAAAAAGAAATTATCCTGTAAATGTTCCCACCCTTCCTGTGAAAGTTTCCATCTCTTTTTAAAGTGTCTTTGAAACTGGCAGCATTAAAGTCTGGAGTGTGTTGCTATAAACAAAAAAAAGAAGAGATTCCCATGTAAGATTTGTCCATGTGTAAGATACTTATCCCCCTGTAATGTTAAATCATGTACTTTAAATAATTTACAACACAATTTGTATTCTTTCCCCTCTCAATCCTCTGGCGTCTTTAACGTTTAATTAATGACTTTATTACAAACACCTGCTGAGGCTGGAAGGCGGCAGACGCCACAGTGGAGCTGCTCATGGGACTGAGGTGTGTTGATCTATGACAGGCTGCTTGAAACATCAACAGGAGCTTGTGGTATTGAGAATGTAATACGTAACACCACATTTTATGGTTTTCCTGAATTACTCCTCATAATCTCCATTGCGCTTGTTGCCTGTCTTGTGATCAGGGGTGAACAGCGCGGTTGTAGTAATCTGAGCTGCCTACCTGCCTCCACGTGACCCTGCCCTGCACAACAGCCATGTGCAGTCCACCGAGCCCTTCTCCAGCGCGATGGTTCAAAGCGCTGCGAAGGTAATGTTAAAACACCTGCAACACTTGCAGTATAGCCTACAACCATAGAAGGCGTTTCGGACCCACAAGCTGAAACAAGTTACAATAAAGTTCTTTATGCTGGAAGTGTTGCTGGAGTTTCGAGCTCTTCAGACTTTTTCCCCTTGTCCGTGCACCTTGGAAGTATAGACGTTGTGCTTGAAACCCCTAGTGTGCGTCCAAGGTAATGTCAACAGATTCACTCACATGAATGTAAAGAAATATTGACGATAAGGTCATCAGAACTTGCAGAAGAAGCAAGCAAATTAAATGTAAAAGTAATTTCTTAAGTGTGTACGAGACACCTCTGCTGTCCTTGGTTCACCTCTACATGATGCCGTGGGGTGGCTGGTTTAAAGCTTTGTTTGTGCATCCAGCCACCTGATTGGCTGGAGTTGTTAAGATTTCACTATCCTCCATCATGCCAGTGGAGCTTTTACTTAACTGGTGCATAGGCTTATATGCACTAACTCCATTCAGAAAGGCCAGCAGTGGACAATTCCTGACTGGAACAAACATGAGTGGAAAAGTAAGGGCGTGCTATGCTTGTCAGAGGAACGGCCGGTTAACGTGCAGAAGGTAGCCTATAGTGATGAGCATATAAATTGAGGATTATGTGTTGTTATTGCCCTGTGGTGTTAAAACTGTTGACTACTGTTTCAGGACTAGGCTGGGGGAGCCATGTCTGAAGACTTACCCTCTGGAGTGTGTGAATCTGCTGAAGAGGGCTAGAATTGCCTTTCAAGCTGGACGCACCCTCACGGAAGGCTTCAGACTGGCGCAGCTGGAGGCTGTGGTGCGGATGCTGGAAGAACATGAGTGTGACTTTGTGGATGCTCTAGGAAGGGACCTTCATAAGGTGAGTGGTGAAGCGGTCACTTGCAATGTTTTGCACTAGTTAAAAATATGAGACAATGACAACTGACATAATAATTCAAATAGTCATCTCTTGACAGTTTGCCTTCATTCGTTATTTTTGTAACCAGCCACGGTTTGAGACAGTTGTGTCAGAACTGATTCCTGTCAAGAATGAGGCATTTCATGCCATCGGCAATCTTAAGAAGTGGATGCAGCCGCAGCATGTGGAAGGAAATATGGTAAGACTTTTGTCTTAGCCTACACAACCTTTCAGGAGAGAACATTCTCAGTCTCGCTGCTACAAAGAAATGGATTGTGTCGGCCCGCCAAAGCAGATTAAAACTTAAGTTGCAGAGTCTAAGAGGTCTCTTTCACTTGTAACCTAATTCTGAGCTTGTCTGATTGGTGTAGTCCACCACGTTGGACGAGTGTCTGGTGGTCAGTGAGCCGCTGGGGGTGGTGTTTATCATTGGAGCCTGGTGTAGTCCTGTCCAGATGTGTCTGGTGCCGCTGGTAGGGGCCATCGCTGCAGGTGCAGAGACTGAAGACCCTCATTTAATCAGTTTAATTGTAGTGTTATTTTTCTTCACACAGGCTTACTGATGATAGTTTATTCAATTTTGTAGGAAACTGTGCAATCATCAGCCCCTCTGAGTGCACCGCTCACACAGCAGAGCTCCTTCATCGCCTCATCCCCTTCTACTTGGAAAATGTGAGTAATTACATAGCAGGGAGGATGGATTAAGTAGTTTAGCAAGTTACAGCAAATCTTTTTTTTTTTTTGTCTTGAAGTCTCACAAAGGCCGACTTTTTGTGGGGTTTTCACTCGTATATTGAGGGTAGCCCTGGAATTTTATTCCACTAATTTGAGTCATGACTCAGTATGAATCTACTTAAGAAGACAGCTTTTGGTATGTGCACTTTAAAAGAGAGCAGACTCAAAAAAGCTGCTTTAATGTGACTTGAAAGAGGTTTGATGTGGTCAGATCTGGGAGTATGGAAACATTCACATTTTGACTGACTCAAAAGTTACCCGTCAAACTATGATTCTGCAGTTGAACACGTGTATTGATTTTACATTAATCAAATTGACATTTAGGACCTACAATGCTACAGTAAAAATGTAATGATCTGATCTAAAATTCTTGTTTTCCTCAAGGAATGCTTCCATGTGATTATTGCAGGCATGAGTGACTTGCCTGAAGTTTTGGAACTAAAATACGACCATGTCTTCTTTACAGGTAAAGATGAACTTTGCTATAAAATAACTGTGTGATTATTTATTGAATTATTTTTAAGGATGTCTGTCAATCACCCAGGAAACAGAGAGGAGGGAAGCAGAATTGCTCAGGCAGCAGCTCGCACACTCACACCTGTCACCCTGGTTTTGGGTGGCAAGAACCCATGCTATGTGGACCAACACTGTGAGATTGCCACCACCGCACAGCGCATCGCCTGGGCACGTTTTCACAATGCTGGGCAGAACTTGGTGGCTCCTGACTACATCCTGTGCCACACGAACGTCAAAGCACAGCTGGTGCAGGCCCTGAAGGGCTGTCTGATGCAGTTCTACGGTTCTGATCCCAGAGAGTCCCGCAGTTATGGCCGCATGGTCAATCTAGAGATCTTCAACCGTACGAGAGACATGCTGTGGAGATCTGGCAAGGTGGCCGTGGGTGGGCAAGTGATAGAAGCAGAGAAATATATTGGTAAGTGTTCTCTGTGCGTGATTCTCTGAAACAAAACCTGTCATAAGTTTTATATTTAATACTGTTAAATTTGTTTTCTGTCTGAAGCCCCAACGATTTTGACAGAGGTAACAGGACCAGATTCTGTCATGCAACAAGATGTTTTTGGCCCAGTTCTTCCTGTTCTGACTGTAATGTGTATGGACGAGGCAATTGCTTTCATTAATAAGCAAGAGAAACCGCTCTGCGTGTATGCATATTCCAGCAACAGCAAGGTACGTGAAAGAGTTTAAGACGGTCTGTATTCATTGTTTGATCTCGGTGCAGCCGATGTGTATATTCTGATCATGTGTTGGCGTTTCTGACAATACAGGTCATCTCAAGGCTGATGAGTGAGACCTCTAGTGGAAGCTTTTGCTCCAATGACAGCATCCTGCAGAGTCTTATGGTGACTCTGCCATTTGGTGGAGTTGGTAAGTCAGTGGCAGCAGAGAAGAATTATGCCAAACATAGTGGCGGAATAACATAACCAATAATATATGAACTCCCAACACTGTTTTAACAGGTGCGAGTGGAATGGGTTCCTACCATGGCCGCTACAGCTTTGACACCTTCTCTCACAGGAAATCATGCCTGCTAAGAGGCACACGGTTTGAGTGTGTAACCTATCTGCGTTATCCGCCCTATGAGGACCGCAATCTGTCTCTAATGACATGGGCCAGCACCCTGTCCCAGAAGAGCCAAGGCTGGTGCCAGATCCTGTGACTGCGTGGTAGAGTGAGCCACGTTGGAAGAAAGCCGAGTGCCCCTTAGGTCCTGAACAGTCCTAACATGCAAATGTATTGTTAGTGTTTTGACATTTAAACAAAATGCACTGGGGTACAGCCATGTGTAACAGAGGAAGAGCAATAATCCATACTGGTTGTTCAGTCTCTGTGTCATGACAATTGTTAAACCAACAAGAACTACTCTCATTATTAAAGTTTCTCTGCAGTACTATAACTGTATATAAAGTCAACTGAATATGTGTTTGAAACATTACCTGTGCAAACTTAAATCACCAGTACATGTATTGGCTGAATGGTTTAAGATGTAGTCACAGTTCAAGGTTCAATGTAAGGTTTAGTGGCATCTAGTGGTAAATAATGGTAATGATAAATAATGTGATCTCCATTTGTCCTAATTTCTCTTTTCTTCGTACTTGTAACAAACCAAACAACATCAAGGCCTACTACTTCTTCCTCTTTCTTTATATGTATTCAACATAGTGATGAAACATGCTCTGTAGAGCACTTTGTCCGTTTGGGCTACTGTACTGTAACATGGCGACTTTCATGTAGGCGGACCCATGGTGTATGAAGAGAGAAATGGCTAATTCTAAGGTTATAAAAACATAACTGTTCATTATGTAAGGTCTTCACACACGACTGAAAACATAGTTTTGTATTTTATATTGCATTTCTGTCAATAAATCTTCCTAAATATTACATACTGGACCTTTAGGTTTATTTGCACATTATGCCAAGAAGAAAGTTGCATCAAAATAAAATTATTTATATTTATATTTAATATATTCATGGGAAAAATGAAATCTCTTCAACCAACTCCCTGCCTCTCCCAAAACAAATTTGGTCTTTGTCTTATTCCACATGTGAGAATCTGGTCATTCAGGTCTTTTGTAGATTTTCTCCTCCTTGCCTTCTTTCATGGCTGCATATCTGGCCAGGGTGAAGAGGTAGTCGCTCAATCTGAGTGAAAATGTGACATTTATCAGACGCGTAATAGAGCAACCATACTCTCATATTAATTACAAAACACTGGACTGACCTGTTCAAAAACTTTGCAACATCTGGATCTGCCTCCCCTGACCGCACAATTGGAGCAACACTATAACAAGAACGAAGATCTGTCAGGACCAACTGTGTCCGGAAAAGCAAGACAAAAGCGGGTCATTTTACGGCATTCAAGCCAAGGAACATAGCACAACTGACCTGCGTTCTGCTCTCCGACACACTGTCCGAGCTAAGTGCAAAGCTGCGCTGCTCTTCCCTCCTGACTGTGACACACAAAGCATAAGTGTTAAATTAAGTGGAAAACCAGGACAACAGAACTCTGTGTACTACAGATGCACAAATGGGCTTACAGGTAAAATGAAGTTGGTCAGTGTTGGGAGTTCTTCTGTAAATTTATCAATCCAGGTTTCCAGGTCTGCAATTGGCTGAGCAGAAAATTGTGTTCTCTCTTAGAAAAACAGAACAGAAAAAAATAAACCCAAGAGCTCTTGCTCAAGCACACAACACAAAATATGTTACTATATTAGAGTAGCCAGCAAGTGCATACTTAAATGACTTTCTCTTGCAGATGCTGGAGGGGTGGCAATGTTGGAGCCCACATCTTGTAAAATGCACTGTATCTGAAATGAAAAAAAATACATTGTCAGAAATCCTTTATCTGGCTGATGTAAGATGTCTGCAATAAAGGAAGCAAATGAATGCATCGTGAAAATCTAACCTTGTCTAGCTGATATGTGAATGTGTGACCATTGTCGAGGCAAAATTCTCTGGCCAAGCTGTAAGGTACAATTCAATACAGTCACTGCAGGTAAGGCAGTTTATAGAACAAGTTTTAAAGTGACCTGTGATATTGGCAAAAAGTTTACCCTATAGCAGATGACAACTCATCTGTATTTCCTAAGGCTTCAAAAATATGATTTTCCTTTGGCCTCCTTTCTCCTGTAAATGTGCTTGAGAAACCTTTAACGGGGTACAGCAGAAATTAGTCAACTTCTGTAAGCACAATTTACTGTACTGTAACAGTGCTGTAACATATTGCTTTCCTTGTAAAATTAAAAAAACAACCTTTGTCTCCAGTTTTGGTGTATATTTTGGGCACCTTGGTGTCTCCTTCAGTGGCATAACTGTTGGGGGGGCGGGGAGATAAAAGAAAAGGATGTTGATCAAATGATTGTTAGCATATTTAACCAACAGATAAGGCATTAACGTTAATAAACGCAGGTACACAGTATACAATACAATAAAGTATTATTTTGGTTTCGGTTGGTCTTTAAATTTTCAGTTTGAAGCAATACTCCAGCTTAACATAAAGAATCAAGCTACTGTGGTAAATGTGTTTAGTGTCAGCTAGTTAGCACATTTCTATATTACATAGACTGTTACAACACTGTGCACGTGTACAACTACCTTCTGCCTGAAGACAGTGTTTCCCGAGACTCGCCTATGAGCCTTCCTGTCCTTACAACACAGCGGAGGTGAGCAGGTTTGATAATAAACGATGCCATGTTAAATCTAGAAGTTAGCGTCTAAAGGTGAACGATAGCGGCTAACACCCTTTGTCCCTCAGTGGTGTCCGTAGTTTATGGGCGTTTCGTTTTCATCGCATGATTGGTCAACTCACCAGGTGGTGGGACAGTACAGAAAGCTGATTGGACAAAATAACATATGTTCAACCATCTGCGGCGCTGATTGGATACTGGGAGCGAAGCCTATGTTCGGCTCGCCCCTTGTATGTCAGCTGTGTTTTTAACACGCTGTGTTGAAGAGAACCTGTGCTTAGAGCTTTTTCCAGTAACTTTAACCAGAAATGTTGTGTTAAACTCCACATATTCGGGGAGTCTTCATGGAAACGCGCAGAGCTGCGGGGAAGAGTTGTGTATTGCGTGTTGCCGCTTCAGAGGATTAACAGTCACTAAAGGTGGCTAAGCTAGCTAATGATAATACTGTCAGCGAGTTTAACTCGCAGGCTGTCGAACTGCCCTGGACATATTTTTGTACCCTGGAAACCGTTACAGAAATGCAAGTGAAGGACTGCTTCGTGTCTGCTCCGGGGAAGGCGATCCTCCACGGAGAGCATGCAGTTGTACACGGAAAGGTAACTTAACCTGAAAGTACAGCTAATACAGGGATGATACGGAGCGTGTGAGATCTTAAAGTGAAGCCAGGGCAAAAAGAATATGAAATCCATTACAGACCAAAACATCACGTGTTTAGAGGAAATCACTACTATTCTATTTCAAGTAGATTCTCCTCCTGCACTGTAAATAAATGGAAACGAGCGAGACAACAATTTGTATGGTTTGGAAAAATACTTAAAGTAATGTAAAATATCCACACAAAGTATGTCCATTTAATCACCCTGTGCTCTCTGCTGCATTACAGGTGGCTCTTGCTGTGAGTTTGAACCTGCGAACATATTTACGGTTGAAAGCCACCACTACTGGTAAAGTTTGCATCAACCTCCCAAATATTGACACATTCCTCTGCTGGGACATGTCTGAACTGAAGCAGCTCAGTTCTGATTCTTGTGGTAAGGGATAATGCAGTACTGGTGACCATTAGCACCCACATACACTGTAATTTTTTTTTTACTGTTGTGTCTGCATCATGCATAATGCTGTACATACAAGGAAATTTCAGTGTTGAGACATTGTGCATATCCCATCATGTATGTGAATTACTACATTTTGCAGTGTTTGTCATGTAGACTCATACAATGAGTACTGCTTTTAGAGATTTTTATTGTTTGTCATATCTTGTAACTCATGTTAATAGGTAAGAGGGAGGAGGTGAAACGTCTGAATGCTGAACTTGTGAGGAGACTACGTGAATTTGTTGGTGTAACCAATGAAAACTTGGATAATTGCAACATGGCCACCATAGCCTTCCTCTACATCTACCTATCACTGTTTGGATCAGGGTGAGATGGTGCTACTATTCTTCTCAGCATTTGTTGTTTTTTTGCAGCTAGTTTGCCCAGGTGAACAAAAAACCACATTACATATTACATATATTTTTGATACCAGAAAAAACAGACACCAGGCCCGTCAAATATAGTCCAGTTGTGGCAGTTGTTTTAATCCAGTGTAGGGCACCTTTATGGAAGCCCTGTGTGGCAAGTGAGGAAAAAAAAATATTTTAATCCATTTTCTTAAGTCTGATCTAAAGTGTTTTCCAACCTGTGTTTATGACTTAAGAACAGGTGGCAAAGGGTTTGCCAGGATAATCTTTCAAACTTAGAAAATGGATCATCTAAAACAAATTTTTCACATGCTTCTCAGGGCATCTGTACCACTTTGGCAAGCAAAGTAAGAAATGCAAATGTAGAATGTGAATGTCCTTCATGCACAGGCAATGGAAAGCAAAAGTATCTGAACATTTTGCAACTTTTGCACTTTTGCCATCTGCAGGGAATGAATGTTGCAACTGCATCTTTTTTTTTTTTTAAGCTACTTGTGTGTGAGAGTTCGAGGTTCACTTAAATTCCAATTTAATTTAATTTATACAGTTCAAATTTATAAAAGAAGTTATCTCATTGCTCTTTCTATATAGAGCAGGTCTAGGCTGTACTCCTTGTAATCTTATTTAGACCCAGCACTTCCCACCATGAGTAAGCACTTGGCGACAGTGGCAAGGTATAATAATAGGACGAATTATAATTGTAGCAGAAACGGCGAGAGGGATCCTTCAGTTGTGTTTTGAGTGCTTTTGTTCAAAGTACCATTTATAAGAAAAACTGCATTATGTCACGTTATCTTGGTGAGGTCTCATAACTGCACATAACAAATGTTACGGATAATCTTTGAAAGAAGAATATCTGCCGATATATCAGAATATCAGATTTTAAAATTCTCTAATATCACAATCGGTATGGCCCTTAAAAACTCATATTGGTCGGGCTCTAGTCCAAGCACAGAACTTTGTGGAACTCCATGAATAACTTTGGCGTGCATGCGGGATTTGTCGTTAACGTGTACAAACCAAGATCGATCTGATAAATAGGACTTAAACAAGCTTAGTGCAGTTCCTTTAATGTCAATAAAATTTTCCACTCTCTGTAATAGGATGTGATGATAAGTGGTGTCGAATGCAGCACTTAGATCTAACAAGACAAGTACAAAGACAAGTCTTTTGTCTGATGCAGTTAGAAAGTCATTTGTAATTTTCACCAGTGCCGTCTCTGTGCTATGATGCACTCTAAATCCTGAAATTCCACAAATAAACCATTGTTATGAAGAAAGTCACACAATTGATTAGTGACTGCTTTGTCAAGGATCTTAGAGAGAAAGGGAAGTCTAACCTTCCCTTTCTAGGTCTATAGTTGGCTAAAACCCCCTGGATCAAGAGTGGGGTTTTAAATAAGAGGTTTAATTACAGCTTCTTTAAAGGAAGGTCAATGGGAGAAAAACAGTATAAATATATCAGTTTTACAGCTGTTTCTAAGGTTCCTGAGTTTGAAGATAAATCTGTACTGGTTAAGGGCTGGAGGTGATGAATTTTGTTTCTCATAATTGGAATTGTATCATTGAAGAAGCTCATGAAGTCGTTACTACTGAGGGCTATAGGAACACATTGCTGTGTAAAATATTACATCTTTGTCATGTGGAGGTGGGAAGTGTGCCCTTTGCTTGTGTCATCATGATTCTTCTGCGCTCCTGGACTGTCGTCCTGTGTGCTTTGAGGAGAGGAGGGAGCGGGGTGAGGGGTTCTCACCAGATCTGTGACTCACTTGTCTGATGGTTCAGTCCCAGTAGAAAACATGCCTGAGTCTGGGATGTTTTGATGTAAAAGAAGAATTATTCGCAAGCTATGTTCTGTGCCTGTAGTTGTATAACTAGTTTTACAATAACTCAACACCTCTACCATGTGGAATATCGACAGCCTACTAGACCTGAATTTATTAGTTTGTGAGCTTGTGTGTGATTTACATCCCAGTTCAAATTAAATTAAAGCAGGCTGATTATGTTATTTATCATGTGTAGCATGGCGTACTGTAGTGTATCATGGTGGGACTAATTTGCATATCATGACCAATGAGCATGTGAAACATTTGCTCATACTTGCACTGACATGTCTTTATTAAATTATGAGGCTTATGTCAACTAAATTCTGTAAATGTAACTAAAACTAGTAGAATATAAAAAAGGTCCGAAGTATTTATCTCCATCTGAAGGTTTATTACACTGATGTTTCTGCCTCACTGCTTTATTTGCAAAAAATGTACTCACTGTTCATGCACTGATGAGTGTTATGGGATTTTCCCTGCATCTCCTTGCATCTCCTGCAATCCCTTCATGTAGAAATTAAGCTAGTAAAGAGAGACTGACTCGAAGGCCGGATGTTAGTTTTAGCGACTCCAGCAGCTGTGAACAGGGAAGATGCTCAGGAACATTAGAGCTGCAGGTTGTCTGGAGGTTTAATCTGCGCTGACACGGTGCTGCCGTGTCTGAGAGAGGTGATGGGTTCTGACAGGAAGACCACTAATGAGAGTCTGGCACTGGGCCACACTGCAGCCTTTAACAAGTCTGGATGTGTTTTTCCCTCGAGAGAAGAGTTGGACAATTAGGTTAGAGTATTCTCCTGTCTGCCCGAAAGCCGCTTCCTGGATAGACATTGACAGCAGAAAGTTTCTGTTGCATATAGAAGTGTATGGATTACTATTTATTACACACTCCTCATAGTTATGTATACACTGTAACTGTACCAGTAAACTGTTATAATCATATCAGTCCTCTGCAGTCATCCCTTAATAACAGTATTAGTTTATATACTAACAGCTCAGTTTTCATGTTTCTTTTCTCAGTGAGCTGCCCAGCTTGACGGTGTCTGTGTGGTCAGAGCTGCCGACCGGAGCAGGACTGGGGTCAAGTGCTGCCTACTCTGTGTGTTTAGCTGCAGCTTTGCTCTGTGCAAGTGGAGCCATCCCCACCCCTCTCAAAGAGTGGGATCAAACTGCCAGGTAACAACATTATAATAAGGGAAGTTTGCATTAGATAGAAATATTTGGCTTGATGCTCTAAAACGGGATCAAAGAGGTGATTTTACTTCTCATATCACTTCTCATGTTTCAAATTGTGTGAACACTTTTTTGAACAAGTTATTTTGGTTTTTACGGTTACTGAGAGTAAACGACCTTGAATCACATTATACTTATTAAACAGAAAAACCGATACATGGGTTGAGGTTAACACTGGGGTCAATGTCTGTACAGTATAATGCAATCCAAAACAGTAGCCTGCAATGCAATAAATACTGTCTTTGAGAAGCTTATGATGTCATATTTTTGGTGCATGTAAGTTGCTTTAATTTAATTTGCTTTGTTTTTCAAGAGTGTTGTAGCCAAACAGCTGCATAATCATTGCACACAAAAACAACCTACAGAGAAATTAGAAGAATAAGGAAAAGAGGAAAGAACATAATAACACTGTCAGAAATTAATTAATTAAAATACTGAACTTTCCCATTTCAATCATTTAACTGTCCATAATTTTGAAATTACATCCATTAGTCACTTGAAATCATTCAAAAGTTTTTTTTGGAGCTCGTTTCAAGTACACAGAGCTGCCACATGAATGCTCTTTTACTAAGATTGCATCATGTCACCTACCAAGATGTAACATTTTAGATACATTCAGGTTATTGTTTCTATCCCGGGTTCTTGGTAATGACAGGGCCAGAAATACAACTTTCAATCAAATATCTAATGAAAAAAGATTTTCAGAAATCAATATAAATCAGTGACACAAATGAATCTTCAGATGTATTGCCAAGTGGGATATTGTTGTACTGTATCGTGCTGCGAATTCTGTGACGATTGCTTCATCACAATTGAACATACAACTGCTTGTCCCTACCATATATCAATGTTTGGTTAGGAGGTGAAGAAGTAGTTAGAGGTTAGTGTCTGAGAGGGTTTGTGGAGCTACAGAGGTCTCCTTTAATAATTGCAGGTGGTGTCAGGAGGACTTGGAACTGATTAACAGCTGGGCTTTCCAAGGGGAGATGATCATCCATGGTAATCCTTCAGGAGTAGACAACGCTGTAGGAACATGGGGTGAGGCCTGAAATGATCTGGTACAGTACATATGGTGTACGTGGACACAGTACTCTTTAAGAGAGTATTGAGAGTATTGTACTGCCACTGTTCATTATCATTTGATGATTATCTATTTAATCTTTTTGATTTCCCTGTATGCAGGTGGCATGCTGAGATTCTTAGCCGGGAAGATAATACCGCTGAGCAGGTATTGACACTGATTAACAATTTTGTAATTTGATTTCATTTAAAAAGAGTACACAGGGAATTAATAAAATCATAGTGTGTTTTTTCTCTCATAGAAAACAAATATTATCTGGGTAAAATTAGTGCATCAGCAGAGAACCAGCATAATACATCTCATAAATAAAACTCTGATCTGTCTGCTTTACTTCCAGGGTGCCGTTATTAAGAATCCTCCTCACTAACACCAAAGTACCACGTAGCACCAAGGTACTTGTTGCCAGGGTGAAGGACAAGATTAACAAGGTACTAAATGGTTTCCTCCTCCCCCGTGCGTTACTTGCCGACACTGTAATTAATATAATAGGCGGTGCTTTTGCATGGGAGCTACTCCAGAGCCTGGCGTTGAGTGCCTTCATAAAATATTGAAATTAAACTCTTAGCCAGACCCCTGTGTGCTGTTGCCTTGGTGACACCAGCAGGTGTGCAGTTTTCTGCCTCAGACGTCGATAGGCCTGGATGGTATTGTGGCAGTGTTGTGATCAGGCTGGAGCACATCCAAAGACAAACCTTCCATTTTACAGTCTGTGTTTGTATAAAGCATGTGAAACTGTTTTTTTTGCACAATGACACCTGTTGTTTTACACATACACATCTACAGTAATAACTCTGAGTAGATATGCTGCGCACACGTGATGTTCGGGATGTTGATTTCCTTTGTGTTTGTTTTCCTCTCCTGTAGTTTCCCTCTATTATGACCCCAGTGCTGGACTCAGTTGATGCCATTTCCTGCACTTGTGAGAAAGTACTCTCAGAGATGACCAGTGAGCCTATCACAGGAGAGCACTACAATATTCTAGAGGTACAAAATATTAAGAGACTGTGTAAAGCATCTTGCATTAAAAAACATTACAGCGGTAAAATGTAATTGTAATACTTAATACAATATCATATCCCTTTTTTAATGTAAAATGTCTTAAAGAGCCCATATTTACATCCACATTACTTCTTCTTTGTCCATAGCAACAGGTATTAACAACAGTTGTGTCTTATCATTTATAGGAGCTCATTGACATTAACCAGCGCCACCTGGATGTGATGGGTGTGGGACACCCTGCCCTAGACACACTATGCCGGGTCACACTGGCCAAAGGGCTCCACAGCAAGCTAACCGGCGCAGGGGGAGGAGGCTGTGGCATCACCCTTCTGAGACCAGGTACTATAGGTCAATTGTTCTAGTGTGGATGTCATAACAAAAATGTAATTTAAATGTTTGTAAAAAGTCAAAGGTTTTTTTTGGGGGGGTGGGGGGGGGGTTCTCAAAGAGACATAATTTATCTGCTCAAAATAAGAACACAGCATGAAATACATATTTTATTAAAATATCATGGCTTCATCATGGTTGTGGCCCTGGGCCTTCCTTTGAGTTAACATCAAAATCGCTGCAGGCAAGAATGGGCCAAATCAATTTTTTTTGCTTATATGTGAATCAGATCTCTTTTTTTCACAAATCACATGGAATCTGATCTTTTCAATTCTGATTTGGGCCACTTTCATATGTGCTTCTAAATCAGATGCAGTTCGAATTGTTGTTGTTTTTGTTTTTTTTTGGCAATGCTACCTCAGTCTGAACTGTCACTTCAGAATCCATGTGACTTTTATGTCACTCTAGATTGACATTTGTCACAATTTGGTGCTAGCTGGAGTCTTACAGAGAGAAAGGGGGAGAGAGGCGGTGATGGATGTAATTAAAAGTAGCCCTTGACTCCATGATATTTGGATGAAATCTGTTTCTGTGAAGCTATTCACATCATAATCCTACGACTCCTGGATCCGACTCCGCATCCACACACACAGAAGTAGCAGCCATTACTCCACAAAAAGCCATAATTAAAAATGTGGCTCAATTTATACTCCTACTCCTACTCCTCATTATCATCTGCTGGGGAATTTGGTGGCTTCCATTGCACTTCAGCTTAAAAGTGAAACTGTAAACACTGACAGTGTACTCTGTGTGATGTCTCTGTTACTGTTTTTTTTGGCCATGCGGGTCAGTTCAGGACTGTAATCAGTTCACTGGAATTGGATACTGGCCTCATAGAAAATAATGTGAACACCTCTCTAGGGGAAAGATATTTTAGAATATCCACTTCTTTAACAAGACTCTATTTTTATTGAAATAAATCTCTCATTTTGTCGAGACTTCCTTCAATGGATTTATCTTTTAATGAATTCAGTTTGATGAGCCAAACTGTCAAGACTCCTGCTGACAACAAATGTTGTGTCTCCCTTAAACTTATTTCTGAAGCTATGATTTGAGTGGCAGGCTTTGGTGTGCGGGTACTAACTACAGTTCAATTGGTTTTAAGGAAACTTTGTATCATCCCCTCTTTAACAAAACAAAGAACCTGCAAGTTCATTCTCTGTTTATGCCTGCAGCATGCTGAATTTGAACGAGTTAAAAATCCTTTAAATAGATTTCCAAATGCTTTATTTGTTTTCTTCGCAAGTGTTTCCATCTGTGTGAAGCAGCTCTAGTATCTGTCTTCTCTTCTGTTCTCAGATATTTGGCAGGATCACGCCGATTGCTGAGTCCTTATTTTTCTTCATTATGAGATAATTGACTTAAGTGACGAGGTTTTTGTGTTGCCCCAGTGTCCTTTTGCTGTTAGTGACAGAGACTTTACAGGTTCACCCCTGAAAGCACCACTGTAGCCCATAAAGTTCTATACACTAAATATCTTTACATTCAACAGCTGTTCCATTAGATTGTAATCGTTTTTTTTCTTTTTATGTATAACTATCATGCCCACCTTGACATGACTTTATTATGACTTGTTTATTTTGTAGAAACGGACTCCTCTGTTGTCCAGGCTACAGTGCAGGACTTGAGAGACAGCGGCTTTGACTGCTGGGAAACGAGTATTGGCGGGCCGGGTGTCCAGCAGCACTCTCCTCTCTCTGTTAAGGAGGAAGTTCTGGAGATTTTAAACCGTTACTGAGATCCACCTGTGACTGTGGCTGAACAAGAGGACAGACGGACTGTTTGTCTTTTTGTTATTGTTGTTACCTCAAGACCTGCGGTATGCTCAACTAATGAAGTGAGCCGAGTGGACCAATGAAAATTCCACACCGAGCAGAGCTGGACAGAGCTTCCTGATTTGTTAGTAATAGATTTTCCAGACGGAAAAACAATCTGATCTTTTTTTAAACTAACAAGGCAACTGTGTCTCTAACAAATTGCTGATATTCATTTTAAACTTTGGGAAAATTAAGTGGATTTAATTATTTGGGGAAGCATCTCATGGAGTGTTTGTTCGCCAAACATACTCAAGGGTACAATATATGTACCGAGCGCTTTGTCCACTAGGTGGTATCAGAGTTGCACAAATGCTTTTAATGAACAGGCTTAATGGTAAGAGGCTTTGATAAATTGATTAATGTGTAAGTGAAGCACTGACAGAATTAATTTATAGTTTCATCCAAATGTTTAAAGCAGTAGGGCAAACCTATCTAAATGGATGAGATTGATCGTCAGTCATTAATTGCTAACTCTGGGAATTGTAACATGCAAGGTTGTTGAATTACAGCGAGAATGAAAGTGGTCATTTGTAGAATTAATTTTACAGAAAATGATAATGGAAGAAAAGTTTGATAAATTAAATAGTTTTTTTTCTTCAAGAAACCCCCAACAAAACCAAATGACTATTATTCAGATTTCTTCAAAGTTCTACAAAGAGGTCTGTCAGAGTGACTGTGCTTAAATATTTCTCTGCATCATGAACAATCTGAGAATATGTCTGAACAAGCTGAGACCAGGAAATGATAACGTCATAGAAATACTCATTATATTTACATATAATGTAAAACTTGACACTCATAAATTCTTATGATAAAGACAGTGTGCTGCGATGCTCCTTAATTGCGCTGTACTTTTAATATAAAAGAATTTTCTGCGATTTGTTCATTTGAAATCCCTCAAAGAATATCTGTCATGGTTTGGTAAAGATTATATTTCAAAATAATGAACGCCATGCGCTGTTCGTTTTCCGCAGTTACAGGCTAACTGGCTGTGTTGTTTTGCTAATAGAGGATGGGGAGAGGGGGACAGCAGGAGTGTGTGGCCTCTCTGGATTAGCGCCACTATAATGTGAATCAACAACAACCAGCGTCCTTCTGTGAGTCACACATTTGTGCTGACACATATGCGCGCACACACACACACACACACACACACACACACCAGCTTTCCCAAATTCGTCTCCACCTAATTGCTCATCCTCCTAAGCATTACAGAATATCTGCGCATGCTGCAGATACAGAAGACGGATCTGTTTAGAATATCCCTGATTTGGGGAAAAGGTCATTGTGGGATTCAGTTGAGTCTGAATATCCATTTCATTTTCTATTTTTTAAATGTCATGAAGATTGAGTAGTACGAATTTGGCAGTGTACGTGAATAAACAACATTTGTCACCCTCCCTCCTTTTCCGCCTGGCCCCCTCTGTCCTCTTGAATTGTGTCATCTTTATGTCAGGGCAGCCCCCCGTCACTGCGCCACACAGTTGCCCCTAACCCCTGCTGGAATTTAATTACCACTGCGCTTTTCAATTGAAATGGCATTGACGTGGGGGGACAAGAGGGGGACAACAGAGCCTGTTTCATTTGAAGCCCCTCTCTTTCTTTTCTGTCTCATTCTCTCTCTCTCTCCTTTTACCCCTGCAAGGCACAGATGGTATTTTTTTTTTATCAATGTCAGTGCCTGCTTCTTTCTGCTCTGATGAATAGAATCTAAAGAGGTCCTGAGATTATTTCAGATAACAGAGGGGAGTGAGGAAAGGGGGTCAAGGATTGAGGGAGAATGTCAGAGTTGGAGAGATACGGTGAAAACAGTGTGCAGTCCCAGCGGTGAGGAAGGAGACGTACAAATCATTTAACATTTAACGTTTAGGGAGTTTTGCCTGGATGGATCAATGTGGGAGAATCAAGGATGTATAATTCATTTTGTCCAAGTAGGAGGAATGAAATGTTAAATGTGAATTTGCTGAGTGGTCATGCTCACTGTGGCACATTCCCTCTGGTGCTTCAGTTGACTGGTGAAATGCTTGTCAGGAGACATTAAGTTTGAATACAGAATTAGACCTGACTGACAAGATATCATGTTGCTGTTGGCCACCGGTTTGACTAACAGGGATTCAGTGAATGGCTTCCCACAGTGATCGTTTGCATTTACATTTATAGGCCTCTGGATCGCAACATGTTGTCTGCATTTGTTTTGTCTGCGAAAATGAGTGTGAGTGTATGTGTGTGTATATATCATAATTAATGTCATGATATTTATGTCAAAAGGGGATGTGCAATTGTCCACAGCAGGGAAGTTTTTTGCGACCATCCTCTCCCAGCAGTCATATCGGCACACTGACAGAGGCAACATCAACATCATGAGCTCCTCTCAGTCATGATGGACTGTATGATCCTCCTTGGGTGTTTGCCCTTTTGGTAAGTCTGGGGGTGGTGCACGGTGATAGTAGCAGGGGTCCAATTAAGACAGCAGGGTACAAGGGTGCTGTCAACGAACTCTTAGTATTTGGTATTGAATTGTTCTTTTAGTTGCTCATAATATATATTTTTTTTAATCCAAATGCAAAGCATAAGCTTTCATTGAAATATGCACTTGGAATACAGATTTTAGCAAACTGGACTGATTTATGTTAAATATTGCATTACTTTTAGAGTCCAGAAGTGTGAAATTATCCTGTAATTCAAATATTCATGAGAAAAACAAGTCTACGTCCATGCTAGTGGCAGGCACAGCAGTCCTTTGAGCTAAATGCTAATGTTTGCATGCTAACATGCTGATGTTTAGCAGGTATAATGTTTAGCATGTTAGCATGCTATCATTTGCTAATTAGCACTAAACACAAAGGACAGGTATTGCAGGTACTGGCTCATAAACCAAAGTAAAAAATTTTACCTGTTGATGGTGATAGAGGAAAAGTTAGAAGACTATCACAATTCAACCTGAACACATGAATGTCTGCAAAATTTCATCCAATATTTCACTCGAACCAAACGTGAACTTTGTGGTGGGGGTGTAAGTCAGGGGATCACCAAAGTAATTCAGATCCTTCCTCTGGAGACCATGAATGTATGTGCAGAATTTCACAGTAATCCATTAAGTAGTTGTTGAGATATTTAAGTCTGGATCAAAGTGGTGAACTGGCCGTCCAATAGACTGATTGCTAGCACGGCTACAGAATATTAGAGGAAGGCCTCAAAAGGTAAACCTGATTGTGTGTCGCAGACATGTCCCTTTTCTGATTTCCTGTCCTGTAAATCATCTTGTGAGCTTTAAGTTGTTTTTGCGACCCTTTGTGGGGCTCCAGACCCACAGTTTGGGAACCTCTTCTTAACTCTTAACCTAGACAAAATATTTAAAATGAGGTTTCCACCTGGAGGATGTGTTTGGTCTAGAGCTGGGCTTCACTCATGTTTATGGAATGGGCCCACAGAGTATAGACCTGCTTGAGCTGTATTATTGTAAACATCTGAAACGCGTGACACGGAGCGACTCCCAGTCCACGTCCCATTTTCCATCATGGAATTGGATCATGTCGTCGTATCGATCCTGTAATTGATTCTGTGAAGTCGAGGGCACCTGCAACATACTCTGTCATTCCTCAGTGCCAGGAGCGTTCTTGTTTAATTGCAGGCTAAGGCGCTGGTTTTTCTTGTTGCCTTTGAAAAGCCTCATTGATTTTTATACCACCCTTCATCCTTGCTGTGCTCCGTTTTAAGAGCAAATCCCTTGTGTCGATGTTGCCCAGAATGTAGAAATATGAAATCTGTCTGTGCTTTTCACAAGGCTTCCAGGTGCAATCCAGACACGATAACTGAAGCTTCTGTCGTTTTTTATTTTTAATGTTTAAACAGAAGAAGGAAGGAGAGAGGCTGTGCTACATGCTACCAGTCTCATATGGGACCAGTTGAATGTGAGTGTTGGAAACACCCTGATCAGACTGGGAGGTCAAAGGTCATCACTTTGGCTCTGCCTGTCTTTGTAAAAAATTACCTACCTTTTGAGAAAAAAGCCAGGTCCAGTATTTTAAGATAAATCAAATTTTTTGCACTATTTTGTGGTATCCAGTTGAATTCTTTCTTTTCATTTATGATGTGTATGCATATATGCTCCTGTACAAGAAATACATTTTACTTTGATAATACATTGGATTTATTAATCTGGAGCCACTAATCCGAACAGGAATTGTAATTTTTTTTGTCAGGCTTTAAACTGCAGTTTAGAAACTGGCACAGAAATCTATTCAGTGCATTAGGGTCTATATAGAACAAAAATATCCTAAATGAAATTTGATTTGCATTAATTTGAGAAGCAGCTTATCTAACATTCATACTTTGAACTTGCTTTGAATTAGAAATAGGTTCTCATCATTTCCCTGGGATTGCAGCCAATTTATTGGATTCAGTTTTTTTCCCCTCAGAGGCTCGGGGAGGAGGATGATCTCAAACTGTTACCACATGACACCTTGTGATTGATGGGCCATTAAAATGTCAGCCAGATGTACTTAAAACCACAGCTTTTAGGTTGATAAATCATGGCACAAATTGATACATAAAGCTGTTAGAAACAAATATTCCCATCTAGAGCTATCTGCAGTCAGATAGTAATGGATGTTCTATCTGCTTGTCTGTCTGTCCTACTATATGCCCCCCCCCCCTCCTCCTCCCCAGTGTATCTCTCGACCACTGCAGTCATGTAATTACAATGGGACAGGTAGGAGTGTTCATATTTCATCTGCTGCATTCACGATAACATCTAATAATCCGAAAGCGTTGCAAAATTGGTATCTCGTTGCTCATGCATTATGAATGAGTCACTGATTGCTTTTTTGCATAGATTAGCAATCATTTCACAGAAATCTTTCATATAAAAACGTGCCAGGAGGGTTCTATCTCTTTTTCTGAAGAGCTGAGGTGACACATCCTGCCGCTTTTTAAGATAAGACAGATCAGGTGATACCACTTCTCCCCCTTGCCCCTCTGCTCCTTCTCTCGCTCTCTGACTTATTTCTCTATGCATATCATCCTGGGGGGGATAAGTGTAATTTTCAGCCCACTTTGCAACTGATTGCTCACTTAGTGAATATATTCAGCATCTGCAGTGTTATTGTGTTTGGAGCCAAGTGGCTAAGTACCACTGAGATTCTTTGGCATCAAAGTAAACATTTGCAGACTCCAGAAGTGCATGAAGAGAAGCAAATCGTCTCACTCAAAGCACTGAGATTGTGTGCCCCACATATGGATTTCGGTGACCTATGGTTGTCCTGACTCTTAGCCTCAGACTGGCAAAACACATAAGGGGCTCGTATGGTCTAATGGTTAGGAAAATAGGCTGGTGACCACATCGCAGTGTAAAGTCCCAGGTGAGGTTTACATACCACTTTTGTTTCCTTTCAGGCAAATAACCTGTTTCGCAGTCGCAATGATCTACATCATCCAGTGAAAAGTCAAATGTATTTCTTAGAGCACTTAAGGAGCATTTTATTAACAGTGTGAGCAAAAAAGCTTTATTTGCACTTTTAATTAAAGCTTTTATTTGATGCATGTGGACACGAATTGAAGCTGTGCCCTGTTGCAGGCTGAATAACGAAGGAAAACTGTCAACTGCGTGAGTCTGCACGAGGTGTGTGGATGCCCGCATTGTGTCTCCCATCGTAACCTCTGGCCTTTGCCCCGTCCCCCCAGATGGGCAGCCTCTCAGCCAAGGCCCTGTGGAGGTTGGTGCCCTCTGCCTGACAGCCTGTCACTGTGCTATGGTGGTGATTTTTTTCTGCAGGAGATGGTGTCTGATTGGGAGCAGTGTGTGAATAGCCTTGTCACACTCGATAAGCCAGCAAGACGACCTGTGACGGGGACATATGGCATGTTTGACAGGGAGAGAGGGTGCGAATCGCACTGAATGATAAAATGGTGTTTTTCCCCCTTCGGCAATGTCATGCTTTCAGGCAAGCGCATGGACCATCGCTCACTCAAGCGGCTGACTCCGGCCTCCTTGTGACATCTCCTTCAAGGTCCTGGGTTTCCTGCCTCTGTGCCTGGCCAATTCTGACACTGCAAAACCGTGCTGCTCACAGCTGCTCTGTTAGCTTGTCGATGTGGGAAACATAATTGGATATCAGTTTAGTTTAGCGATGCAGACTGGGAAATTCATCTTAAGAACCTGTTTGTCAGAGTTCCTCTTAAAGCTCTCTGGCACTGCAGCCCTTCATCCTGTCTCTTTTCAGCCTGTCACATGCCTCACACTGTTGATTAATACACACACCGGCACACAGTCTCATCAGACGACTCTAATTGATGGGTTCAGCCTCCTCGGGACCCTGATTTATTTAAAGGGCCATGAACACTGAAAAGAGAAACGAGGAAGGAGACAAACAGGCTTGGATTTAAGTGTGTCGGGGAAATT